GAAGTGTTTTGACAATGCCCTCTGGTGATTCTTGGGGCTGTCCTGTGCAGGATCAGGAGCTGAACTTTGATGACTCTTGTGGGTTTCTTGCACCTCAGAATACCCTGCGATTTTATTACTCTAACCCACAGTGTTACCAACAGCAAGAGAATGGACTGCATCTACTCCTTCTCACCGTAAGTAATTAAAGACAGCTTGGATTATTCTGATACAATATTTCTATTGACAAGAACATGAAAAGAATCTTTCCCTTTGATACTTCCACAGAAATACCATCAACTCCTTCCATTTCCCTCCCTGTAATAAAAATCCAGATGGCTTTTTCTGTGGCATAATAGATAATACAGTTGTATATATATCATAGATAGTGACAGAATAGATAATGATCATAGGATACTTTAAAAAAACCCACCATCTCATTAAAAGGTGCATTATTTACTTCAGAACCATTTAGTACAAGGGAAGCAATACAACAGAAAATATATTCATAGCCATTTATGCAAGCGACAGGTATCTGTTGGCTTGATTTCCAGCTAACTTTCTTGGGAACATTACATTTGCTGAAGTTAAACTCAAGACTCAACATTTTTTCCCTTGATCAGGAATGTGACTTCTACTGTACTTTACAACGACAACAGCTTTGTTACCTCTACATTTTCAGTGAGACCGTATTCGGAATGCGGGTTTTCTGGAACCTGTAAAATAACAGATGGTCAGCAAAGAGAAAATGCTCCTTTTATTCACGTAGCATTATGCACATAAAATATTTCTTGCAATACCTGCGGCTGCCCCTCCATAATCTGTTCTCCCTCCATGATTTGAAAACTGGAAGTTGCTGGACGTGCAGGAAAATCTTGGAAAGCAATAAAAACACCGGTCAGCAGGCTGAGAGGAAGCCCAGTGTGAGTTAAGCGATACTGCATCATTTGGTTACTAATGGTTACTAAGGCACAATTACTAGAGAGAGCACAGGGAGCTCCTCTGAGCTCCCCCCGCGCCAAACTTGATTTTCCCACGCGCAGAACCGGGAAGTGCCTTAAGGTTAGGGGCAGATCCCCTGAAGAGAGCGGTACCGGGGTTAGGAAATACAGCATTCATCTCCGCGGGAAGCCAGAGACACTCCTTACCCTCTCTCCCTCCCTCCCTCCGTCCGTCCGTCCATCCATCCGTCCGTCCCACCCCGCCCGCCACAGCGCCGCGAGACCCCCGGTGGGCAGGGCGGGGCTGGGGCCCCGCCGCACCCCAGGCCACGTGCGGCCGCCGCCGCCGGCCATGCCCCAGGCGCCCCGCGAGGGAGAGGCGGCCCTGCCGCTCGGCTCTCACCGGCAGTCGGTCCGGGACTCTGGGATCGGCGGGACTCACTCCGGGATCGGCGGGACGGCAGGAGCGGCTCCGCAGCAACCGCGGCCGCCGTCGCGAGCTGTTTTGACGTCACTGAAGCGGCCGCGCCGCCGCCTCCCCCCGGCGCACTGCGCGTGCGCGGGGCGGGAGCTCGGCAAGGGCGCTCGTTCCCAGGTGTCCTGTCGGGAATGGAGCAGCTGGATGTGGCGGCTCCGAACACACCGTTGAGAAGCGCTGGCGCTTGGGGGCTTTGTGCTGCAGAAACGTGCTCATCGTCAACGCGGTCTGATGTCTGAGGGTCTCCCTGTGGTGGTCACGAAAAATAGCTTTGCTGAAGCTGATGTGGAACTGAGAGTGGGGATTTGTTAGTGAATAACCTTCCAGAGCTGTGTAGAATGCGATTTGCACAACGGTGACTGCTGGCCGTTAATTTTCTCTCTGTTAACAAAAACGCAGCTTTGTCCAGGTATCGGCTTTAACCATCCCGTCCCGACTGGAAGCTGTCGGGAACTGGAAGAATCTGTTGCTTCTGTAGTTGTTGCGCTGTTACAAATTGTACCGGTGTTTGAACATCTGAGCCTGATTTCTTTGTTTTACTAGGAATTAAATTTGAAGAACAGCTTCTTTACATTGAGGCTGACAGAACTCTGAAACAGGCTGCCCAGTAAGGTCGTGGAGTCTCTCTCTCTGGAGACATTCCAAACCCACCTGGACGCATTGCTGTATCACTTGCTCTAGATGACACTGCCTTGGCAGGGGCATTGGACTAGATGATCTCCAGAAGCTCCCTCAAACCCTGACAGTTCTGTGATACTGTGAATTCTTTGTCTCGTAGCATGGTTTGTGCTAGAGGATTAAAAAGGCCTTAAGAATCTTTTTAATTTTGACTTGATGAAGTAGTTACATTCCTGTAGGTTAGCTGATGTTGAGGAGGCGAGGTGAAAACACAGAAGGCAAAACACTTTTTTTTCTAAAACTTAAAACAGGAATACAAACAAGTTCTTAATGTGAAGATGTGAAGAGATATAAGCTTTTCAGTTCATTTTGAGGCTCTCTCCTAATTTTCCAAGAGGTTCTAGCAGTGACATTTTTGAGAATTGCATTTAGAATATTTGAAAAATCCTTGTACCCCTAGCCCTGTTTCCACATTTCTACATTCTCTGTTATATTCAGTTTTTGTGGCGATACCCTGTTGAGAGTGAGAAAAGGTTTCCTACCTTGACCTTTTGTGCAATGGTAAGTTATGGTGTCAGATTAGTTGCATCTTTCTGATTCCTGTGACTGTAGTGCTAGTCTGCTCTAATTTTAAAACCTTTAGCTGAGATACCAGGTTGAGGACTCATGAAATACAGGAAGTACAGTCTTCAGAGCAAAGTCCAGTCAGGTGAACGAGCTGATCCAACAGTTGCCCACTCCAGAAAATGAGGTTTCACTTCTTCCACCCCTTGCCAATGTCCATGTCCTTGCTGAGGTCAGCAGAAAGCCATCCCATGGTCTGATGAGGTTTAAGGTTTGTTTCTTTGTTTTTTTGTTTTGTTTTTCAAACTAGCATTAATCTTATGCCAGATTATTAATTAGAATAGCTCACAGACAAGACCAAAGAATGTTAGAACCAGTTTAATGTAGGAGGGTAGGGAGATTCAACTTGCAGATCACTCAGATATTTAATAGCCACACTAGTGAACTGATTCTCTAGGTTTTCTCACAGCTCCTGACTGGTGTCCGCTTCTGAAGCTGTGTTTTTGGTTTAACTTGTTGTTATTCCCCTAACAGGTGCACTCCTTTATTGCCATGATACAGTCACATGATTTATAAAGGTGTCATTCTAATTTTTTTTTTAAGTAAAAATAACTGAATAGATTGGCCAGTCAGGATTGATTGAGGTACATTGTCTTCTATTGTCATTCAATCTATCCTTGTCAATAAACTTATTTCTTCACTAGCTTTTCGATTTTAATCAGGAGTGACATGACACTTTAGATAGTAATGAGATTAAAAAGACAGTAGTTCAGTAATCTGTTGTCAGATTATTATTTCAGTTATTTCACTTCACATTTTTGAATGCTACTTAGTATTAACCCTGCTTGAAGCTTCTGGAATTTCTTTGATATTCCAAAATTTGTTAAACCTTTATATCGGGAAACAAGATTTTTTTTTTTTTTAAGGATAGTTCAGTATACTGAAAAAAAAAAAAGATACTGAACTTTGTTCAGTCATGAGTGGACTGGAAAATGTTTCAATACTATTTTCATAATAGAAGTACATCATCCTTCTTACCAAGTCCAGGAGAAAAATACCTGATGTACATTACTACATTTTCCAGTTTGATAAAATTCTGTGTTTTGTACAGTAAGAAAATAAATACTCAGTTCTGTCATTAAAACAAACCACTCAGTCATTTAAGAAAATCAATAATCAATACACATTACCACGGGAACTAAAGTAACTATACAAGGCATAAGCAAACAAGAAAAAAACAGTTGTTTTATAGTCATTTTGGAAAAATAAATAATCATAATAAAGCGTGGCAGACAGTAGTGATTTCAGTTTGGCATGTCCTTTTAATTAACACACAGCACCAACTGCAATTTCTTGCTATAAACTGGGAAAACTTGCTTGTGCACTGAATTAATTAATGCTTGTGCACTGAATTATGTGTCTACTGTTTGGGATCTCTGGGCTACTGTGTGCAGTTCAGAGGTGTAGGAGAGACATGATCTGTCATAATTAACATCAAGAGCTCAGTATTTTATTTGTAGAACAGAGGGCGTGACAAAACAAAACAACAGCAAAAAAGATCAACCAATAGGCAAGGCAACCAAAAGTGTGTGTGGGGGGGAAGACTGAAGCACAGATGAAGGGCCTTGCAACAGGGCTGAATATAGCAGTAGGCACAGAACGTGGGAATGCTGTTGTGTGGGTGCCTCCCCTTGTTTCCTAATTCAAAGGTACCTGGCGTTTTTAAGGTTTGAAATAACCAGAAGAGTAGGGAGCTGGAGCATTTGTCTCATTAGTGGATACATAAATAAATAAATATTATAGCTGGGAAAGTAATTGACAGACAAGGGCTTGGACAACTGGGTGATCGCTTTTTGTAACGAGGGTGGTAATAGAGTTCTGGGGGGTTTTTTTGTGGTTTTTTTTTTTTTTTTTACTTCTCAGGACGATGTATCTATAATGTATACTGAATTGCATTAGCTCCCTCTGTGTGAGCAGGCAGCTGTCATGTCGATTACAGAGATGCGGGGCAGACAAAGCGCCGGAGGACGCTCTCCCGGGGGCAGTTCCAGGCGGCGGAATCACGGACACCGCCGGTGACTGGCTGCCACACGTCCCTCCGTGCGAGGGAATTCCCCGGGCCCTCCTCGTGTGCCTCCAGCAATGACTCCCGGCGGGAGCGACGCCAGGGATCCGCGCTGCATTGTGCCTGCGGGGCGGCTCCCGACTCCAGTCAGAATAATTAATCCTATTAAATTATTCATCCTCCGTCCACTCGGTGCGTTTCCATGTGCCGACATCTAACGGCCTCGGCCACGGCTGGAGCAGCCTTGACTCTCTCCAGGCACAGCGCTGGAAAGCCCCGCCCCGCTCCCGGCAGGGTCCTCCCGCATCCCTTTCTCCCTCCCTCCGTCCCTCTTTCCCTCCCTCTCTCCCTCCCCCTGGGAGGGCCGAAAGGGGCGTCGCCGCCGCCATCGCCATGGCCGGTTGTTGTCAGTCGCTGGCAGCGGGTTATGGCGACGGCGGTGAATGAATTCTCCGGGCGGCCGAGGGAAGAAGAAGGGCTCAGCCGGCTCCAGCTCCTCGCCTCCGGCCGCCGGCGCCTCTCCCTCCGCGCCGCCCGGGCCGGCGCCCCCCGTGCCGCCGGCGGGGGCGGCGACGGCAGCGGCGTCCCCGCACAAGCGGAACCTGTACTACTTCTCGTACCCGCTCTTCGCCGCCTTCGCCCTGCTCCGCTTCGTCGCCTTCCAGCTCGGGCTGCTCTTCGCCTGGCTCTGCGAGCGCCTCTCCCGCGGCGCCCTCATGGCCGCCAAGGGCAGCAGGGCCGGGGCCGGCGACGCGCCCGAGCCCGGCGGGGCGCCCGAGACCGTGCGGGCGTGTCACAAGCGGGCCTTCGAGTGCATCTCCATGGCGCTGCGCATCGACGAGGACGAGACAGGTAGGGAGGGAGGGAGGGGAGCGCCCGCGGCCGCCTCGGGGTGCGGGAGGGGGTGGGCGGGCAGGGCCTTCCCGCCCTGTGCCGGGGAACCGCTTTCGGCGGAGGACAAACAAAACCCGCTCGTGTGATGGATGCGGCCTGCGGGGGTCGGTGCGGGAGGGAGCGGGGAGTGTGCCGTGCCCGCTGCCCGCCCCTGCCCGCGTACCGTGGCGGTGCTTTGGCCCCGGCCCGGCCCCGCCGCAGCCGGCAGGTGCAGGTCGGGTTAAAAAAGCTGCGGCTCGGGCTCGTTCCCCACGCAGTGCAGGCCCTCGTATTTCGCCCCAATAAAGTTTTTGCTCCGGAGGTCGGGGTGAGGCGATTAAAAAGTGGGGCGAAAGACAGGGTGCGTGACTAACAAGCCTTGGGTTTCACCAAGCCCGCCGGACAACAAAAGCACCAAGGACAATAATAAGGGTCCATCCTTTAGTACGCTGCCTGACAAATGATGCAAGTGCTGAAGCGAGTTTTCAGGAAACTTGACCCCCAAAATGGCCATTTAGAGTTGTCTTGACTTTTAAAGAAAGAAATACTTACTTGCATTTTGGCAGTTGTTTTTTTGTGTGGGCGGGTGGGTGGGTTTTTTGTTTGTTTGTGTTTTGCTTAAGGTGTTTGACACACTCTTGAAAAACCTAAAAACCTATCATTGTGTGACCAGAAGACCTTAAGGAAGACATTTAGGGTTCGTGTAAATAAAACACAGGAGTGAGGTATTTGTTTTTGTGTGTTTTGGTTTTGGTGGTTTTTGTTTGTTGTTTGTTTTTTGGTTTTTTTTTCCTAGAACATTAAAAAAAACCCCAAAAATATTTGCTATTACATTTGATTTAGCCATTTACATTAAACACAGCAGCACAGTTCTGTCAGCAGCCAAAAGGCAGGCCGTTAGGGGCATGCTGTGCTGTTTTTTAAAATTCTATGGAAACATTAGAATACCTTTATTCTTCACTTCTAAGTTGAGCTTTAGTGAAACTGCTGTCCTAGAGGAGGACATTAAAAATAGAGGAGTAGGCCTTCAGCAGAAGCTACATGCTGAGAGCACCATAAAAGCAAGGGATGTGTCTTGCTTTGCGTTGACAATTTGGGAGTGGCAGTGGCAAGCTCTGGGAGAGAGAAAGAAAACCTACCATGTGCAGCAAGGTTAATTTAGAACAGATGTACAGTGAGAGAGCACTGAGGGTCATAGGAGTGAGCAAAGCATGAAAGAAAATGAGGTAACTTAAAGCTTCAGTGTTGTTGATGATTGCTCTGTGAGGAGTAGCCTAAGTCTTATATTATCAGGTACCTGTTCCACTGTTGTGACCTATAACTGTTGGTGGTTTGGAGGGTAAGCCCTTAAATACCAGTTTTAATCATGGACTTGCTCTGTAGATACCCTTAGATTTATCGTATATGAATTAGCTGCACAGGTCATACATCTAATAAGATCATTTTTACTGCTAATGGGAGCAGTGGCACAGCTGTTACAGCCCTGCAACTGCAATATACATTTCACTGAGAAAGAACTCACTTTGCTTTAATGCATAGGTTTGTTATTTCCTTATCTATTTTTGCTGGAATATATGTCTATCTTTGATTTTTTTTTTTAATGTGTAAATAAGCTTTTTATAGCTTCCAACAGAAAACCATATGTTAGGCACAGTGTGTGAAACGGTTGGAATTTCTGAATTGTCTAATATCTGTTAGTTATGTGGTGGTTTTGCTGTTGTGGAAGCTGTGCACACTTCAGTAATTTTGACAGCACTTCTGGTAATTTTTTGTGCTTCTAAATTATTGGGGCAATTATTTTTGGTTTGGTATTTTCACAATCAAGCTTAATGTTTTTTCCTGGGACTGAGAAGGTACATGTGTTGTGTTGACCCCTGCCCTCAGCTAAGCATCCACACAGCTGCTTGTTTCCTCCCCTCAGTGGGACAGGGAAGAACATAGGAGGAGCAAAAGTCAGAAAAAAAGGTGAGAAAACTTTATGAGCAATGGCTGCCTTGGAAGACAGCCCCCATCCAGTTGTTCACCTACCCAAGATTAATTTACTGATGAGCATTGTACTGAATGATACAGAATATTTCTTAGGTCAGTTTGTGTCAGTCATCCTGCCAGTGTCCCCTCCCAGCTTCTTGTGCACCCCCAAGAATCTAGCGTGGGAAAAGGAAAACCTTGAGGTTGTGCTGTTCAAGCAGTACCCAAACCATTTCTCTGTTATCAACACTGTGTTAGTCACAAATCCAAAACACAGCAGCATTTGGGCTGTTTGTAGAAAATTATCTCCATTCCAGCCAGACTCAATACAGCTGATCAGCAGCTTCCAAGGAATGTGACATTTATTGCATTTTTAATGTCACAGTCACTGAAAACTAGTAAACCATTCTGTGTGGAGTCAGAGCACAAATTGTGCAAACAGCTTGCTGTGATATGGTGCTTTTAAAACTTTGTTATAAGTTTGAAAGTTATAAGCTGGAAGTGAAATTTTAATGACCTTGGCATGTTTGCAGCAGCTCCTCAGAGTAGCAACGGAAGTCAGGCAAAGCAGAGGTGGCTGGGATCATCGCAAATTTGATTTCTATTTAGTTATAATCAGCATTAGATTTACACTGCAATCAAAAATGTTTCTATGGGTCATGGGGAGAAGAAGCTTAAAGTAAAAAAAAAAAAAAAAAAGGCTAAAGAGAGGATTGAACTCTCTCAGCTTCAATGATTTAATTTCTCTAGCTTTATCCTTAACAGTCAGGATGTATGAGGCTGGTGAAGAAAGGGCAGTAATAAAATGATTCCTGGAGGGTGTGATGTTCATGGCTGTAGGAAGGTGCTCCTGTGCTTTGTGTTGGTAAGAAGAGCAAAGCGTGAAATTACCTGCACAGGGGATCTTGCCAAATGTTATTATTAAAAGATTTTGCTTCTGGAGAGGAGGAAGAGAAAACCCTGAAGAGGATTCTAGAAATATATTGAAATATTTTTACTGACACTAATATTTTCTAGAAAGTAGGTTTGAGACTGAAGTTATCAGAAGATTTGAGTGCAGAAGCAACACAATCACTGGTAACTGGCACTTAGGAATAGTTTTGTGAAATGTTATGTCATCTGAAAGTAGGGTAATGATATCTGAAGGTTTCATTGTAGGCATTTTTGGGTTTTTCTACCACTTGCAGCTGATCAGGTTTAACTTGTAATACAGAATGTGCTATATTCCTCTGTGGAAAGGCATGCTTAGTGTGACATAACTACCTTGCAAAAGTGTATTCCCACGTGCAGGCAAATATCTTTTTAAGGCGGAGTATTTACGGAAGGGGAGCAATATGGAGTAGATATTAATAGGTCTTCAGTGGTTTACTTGATGTTATGGTGTCATGTAGCATTGGTTAGGCATAGCCATGTTCATGGTTGTATTTGCTATAATAACCATTTAGGATGTGGTTGGTACAGAGGTGTACTCTTCATTCTACTTGCATTGTGCTTTGTGTTAGACTTGGCACACACCTGCAGTACAGCAGTTTCGTAATAGGATAAACAGAGAAATAGCCTTATGGCAAAAGAGATGCTCCGTACAAAAGATAGCCAGAGGAGAGGTGTCTCATCTCGCTCATGTAGTGTCTTGTTGCTTTTCTTCTTGAGTTTCTATGCTTCTAGTGTTACTTTGGTATTGATATAATCTATCACTGGAAGATTAAGAGGTACATCTCTATTTGCTGTTCCAGAAACAAAACCTGTTAATTTCACCATTTCTGTTGTGAATGAATTTGTGTAGGTGAGCTTTTTTACCTCGTTTTGTTTGTTCGTTTGGTTGATTGGTATTTAAGGGGATTTATCTTTTTAAGGCAGATGTAGAATATTCTTAAAACAGGCAAAAGTGATTTGAGGCTGGTGTAGTACCTGCTTTTAATAGAAAATCTTATTTGAAACTTAAGTAGATATAAAGTTGACAGTGTCCCTTTAAGAGTTTCTTTAAGTCATAGGATTTTGTTAAAATATCTCTTCCTGCTTCTTACTTGTTTTATGCAGCATTATATGGAACCATTCCTAAGCTTTAATTCATTACAGAAAATAATTGGTTCACTTCCTTTTTAAGCAGGACAAAAGGAACAAGCTGTTGAATGGTATAAGAAAGGAATTGAAGAACTGGAAAAAGGAATAGCTGTCTTAGTAATTGGTCAAGGTAAGCCAGTTTTGAGTTTTGTGGAACAGATTTTGGTTTATGGCTTCTTCAGAGTGAGAAATCAATATTGCTAAATATGATAGCTGCTAGGAATGGTCTGCTTTATGAATTAATTCATAAGATAGTTTCTTATTTTTGTTTTAGCCGTAGGTGAACGTTGGTCCATTTCTCTGCTCTGTGTCTATAACACATGCAAATTTTGCTCCAAATATTTTCAGACTCTCCAAAATCATAAGCAATTCATGAAAATCCTAAAGAAAAACAGTTGATTTCTTATATAATGGGAATGCTAAAACACTGAGTTCTGATTTGATTTGTCAAAGTTGACAGTTCATGTTCTCACTTATGCAGAATTTTATATTCCCTTCAGTATAACTTAAAAATAAACCCCCCGATTTGGAATGGTCTGACATTGTGGTTTTGAGTGGCTTAGGCCAAACTAGCTGAACGTTTCCAGCAAAGAAAAAAAGCCATCTCTGTATGTGGAACCACTTTAATCTGTAGTGTAAAAGCAGGTATGTACCATAGAGATACAGATGTAGTGAAGGACTTGCTAAGAATTTCTGTCCTCAGAATAATGCTGTAATTATAATAACTTAAATCTCCTGCCCCAACCCCAAACCTGTAAGTGCTTTTGCAGACTGCTATTTTATTCCTCAGCTGTGTTTAGAATGGTGTGGTGACATGTTACTTATGGGGCAATAGCAGTGGCATTTGATTCAAACTGTGTAAATTGCACAGTTTAAAAAAAAAAACTTGACTTGGACAGACAGAATTTCTTAGGAAGTAGTGGTATTATTGTCTACTTTTGTATGTTTTGAAATGTAAAGGGACACAGTCAACTGAATTTAAATCTGTTAATTTTGCCAAAGTGAGATCTTTTGAATTGTACTTGCCTCTCAGTCACTTTTCAAGCTTTGTAAAGATCTTTTTTTATTTGACTTCTGTTCAGAGAAATGCAGTGACAAAAAACATACATTTTAGGTCAAATGAAATGTTAGACACGATGCAAAGCAACGTTTGGGTTACCACAGCTCCAAGAGCAGTACAGTGAAGCAGATAGTGTCAAATAACTTTAAATTCTTGATTAAATAGGAAGCTTTAGAATTTTTCATTAGTTTTGTAACAAAGTTCTTTAGTGGAGGGAATAGATTAGGGGTGGGAGGAAGAGGAGGGAAGACTATGTGTCAGTATTTTAGCACTTAAAGAAGTTTATTTGCCAAATTGTGTTTTAACGTTGATTTTTCTTTGTAAGGTGATCAGTGTGAACGGGCTCGACGTCTCCAGTCTAAAATGATGACAAATTTGGCAATGGCCAAGGATCGCTTGCAGCTTTTAGGTACCAGTTACAATTCATGACTTTGGAAAGTTTGTAATTATTTGCACAGCTTCATGTAATGCCTTCTTCTAGAGTGTTACTTTGATTTTTAAAGGGAAGGAGTCATTATCTGTGTATAGTCTCTTTAGTTTTTACTTTAGAGTAAGTGCTGTTGATGCATTTTGAAAATGGAATTTCAGGTATAAAGTAACTGGAAAGTAGCATTCTCATAGTTCGCTTGACTCATAGAGTCAGGAGGTCTTATTCAATTCTTGTTGAAGTTTAGGATTTTTGCATTGGAACTGTAGTAAAGCTTGAAGTATTGGTGATCCTGAGTGCCAAGTGTGCCTCCTGTAAGTGTAACCACTTCATGTTCTGTTAATTTTACTGTCACTTAGCACACCATTTTGCCTTGCAATTTATATATAATAATAATAATAATAATTCTTTAGCATTGTGTAGACCGTAAGGTTGTGAAATCCTAATTCCCTTAGTTTTTTTCTAGTTTTTTCTTAGTTTTAAGACTAGCAGGTAAGGTCACTTCTTTTCAGAAGCGTGATATTGTATAGTTTTAGCTTTATTAAAATAAGGCGCTCTATATAAGCTCTTAATGGACAGAGTAAAACAGGCAGGATTGGAAATTGCATCTTACTGTGCCTGATAAACAGCCACAGATCCCCCCATCGAGCAACAAACCCACAACTTTGTGCAGTGCATCCTCTAAACTGAAGACTTGGGAAATGCTTTCATTTCAGTCAGTAAAATGAAGATAAAGATGGGTTTTTTTAATCACTCTCTACAGGTGAACTAAAAAATTTGCTTCAATTTAACTTTCATATCTGCAGCTTTAATCTTGCACTCTGTTGTTTGGAGCTCTACTAAGTCCTTTTCCTAGGAGCATATAAAGCAGCCAGGAAAATTCGTGTTCTTTTCTTCTTTTACACTTTATGACTCTGTAGTCCTGCCTGGTGATTGACAGGGAAGTTGTGAAAACCACAAGACAATGAGTCCCTTTTGTTTCCCTTGATGTCCTGGTGTCCTTAGAACTTTTTGTAAAAAGTTGGAGGCATATGGGGTGAAAGAGGCATGTGGCTTCTATGCTCTAATATGGATGTTTGTTGGTGCAATCTTAGTATGTGCAAAAAAGATATTTTCTACTTCTTAGGGTTAAAGGCTGACTTCTAGAGATAATATAAACTAGGGAACAATAGACAGAAAGTGATTACATGCCAACAGTCTTTGATAAAATATGGCTTGTTGCAGACATCCTAATTGCAAGTAACTAGAATTTCTTTTTAAAAATTTGTTGTTCTTTAAACTTGAAGTAACAGTGTCTGTATTTTGTTGGTATTGCTTCATCATTGCTTGTGTTACCACTTGCTGTGATCTGACTGAAAAAAAAAAAAGGGTAAACATCACAAAAAAGCCTAAAGTTGAAGTCCATTCATCTGGACATGTTATCACATACTATTTGTTTGCTCATTGAGAGTGCAGATTGAAAGGTAAACAGAACAGTGTTTATTGAATAAGTTGAAGTAAAATATTATTTTATTTTTAGTTTTATATTATCAGGAGTTTAGTACTTTGTTCTGTCTGGGTTCTTGTTTGGTTTGCACTGAGGATCTGCTTCAAACAGTGTACCTGAGAGCAAAATTTGGATAAAAAAGAGTGAGTGAAATCATGTGCCCTTTAGGAAGGAAAAAAAATGTGATTTGGGGAGATATTCCAATATCTTTAATCCCCTACGAGTTTGATCATTGTGGATCTATTTGAGTAATATTTTTATACCATCTAACCAACTTTCAAGTATTGACAGTGTCTCTTTTTATTACTTTATATGTAATTTTACATTGATTTTGTGGAAATTTAAGGTAATCTAGAGTTGAATTGCTTGTGCAATTCTAAACATAGCTTTTAGCCTGTTACTTATAGTAACAGATACTTGGAATTTTTAAGTGGTGTAGAGATCCTTTTGTAGTTGAACTAAACATGAGGTTCTTGAAGCTCTTAAGGTTCATAAAATGATTTTTCCTATGAATCCAGCTCATAAGAGCAGAGAGTAAGTGTTTTCCTTTAGCCATGTGGAATTTCTCCTTTTCTTGAGACAGAATAGGCAAGTCGTTTATTGCATTAACTGACAGAATAAAACAAACTTAAAGTAGACAATAGTATAAAATATTTCATCCTGCCTGCTAGACAGAGATGTGATTGTAGATTGCTTAACTGAAATGCCATCCAGTCAATCAAGTTACATTGTTAATACACAGAAAGTGAAAATTAAATCATATGGATTATAACTGTCCCTTGGAAGTGCTCAGTGTCTTCATTTTTTTTTTTTTTTGAAGTGTGTTGGTACATCAGCACAAGTTTAAGTTGCAAGACCCCGCTGACAGGAGTGTGATGTCTGATCACACCCGTGTGTTATCACCATGTGTCATCACACCACTGGTGCCTTTTAATGTTGGAAGTGGGTGGAGCTGCTTACCTTGGCTGATGGGTTTTCTATTTTGAGCCCTGTTTTCATTTTGAGTCTATATTTCTGTATCTTACTCTGTTTGAAGCTGTAACGTGTCACAGTCTGAAAGCTGAAGTTGCTACTGGTGTGTTTCAAAGCACCTCAGGGTGACTCAATCACTTTGTCAGTCCACTGACAATTCTGAGTGGTGCCAGCTGTCAGGGGGATTCCAAGTTCTACCATTTGGATTGGTGGCAGCCCCCATTTTTGACATGGTTTGGGGTGTGTTACTTGTGTGTTTACTCAGATGAGGGGCTAAATCTTGCTGCTTTGATGGTCTTCACAGAACTGATCTCTCGTGGATAACTTATCACTCGTGTTAGTCATTATATTTGATATATGTAAAATGACAGGAGGGTATTTGTTTTCTGCAGTGGATACACAGAACTCAGCAGTTTGTTGTCCCTAAAGATAGAGAACCAGCATGTCCAGTGCAATCCTATTCACTTCTAATGCTATTTATGTTTTATCTATTTGTGTTTTCTATTTCAGAGAGACTTTCCAAAGGGGAATAGACTTTTGTCCCCACAAGTGCCTTCCTGTGTATTATGCACAGCTTCAGTATTTTGATTGAAGGGTGCACATGGCACATCATTCAAATACCTTTCATCAGTATCCTCTTTGGAGGATACTGATACTCCTCAATGCTGCCCTTGTATACGTAGGGTCTTCAGTGGACACCTTTTGGGATCCTCCACTTTCTTGGAGGCAAGGGGGGTTTTTTGCTTCAGGCTTGTGTTACAGGGTGACTTTTTTTTTATAAATCAGTTACCTTGAAGTCAGGGTCTGGTGTTGTCTAACTACGGCAGCGGCTGCAGTGCTATTGATTTGGTAGGTTTATGTCAGCTGTGTATCATCAAGGAGAAATAATGAATGAGATTCTGTGAACTTCTGGGTTTTTTTTCAATGGCTGGAGACAGAGAGGGAAAGCTTTTCTCATCTCACTCATGGCTAGGCTTCGCGAACAAAGATGTGAGAAGGGGCTCTACCCACGCTTGCTACAAGCGGTGATGGTGTCCTGCTAATTCCCTGGAATAATATTTAATAGCCTAAGTTATCTTTGATATTCTAGAGGACCTTACAGTGACATTGTCACTAAAGAAAAGTGATATGGGTTTTTTTTGGATTTTATATGCAATACTAAAATTACATGTTAATATGTAATGTAATGAGAAGACAGTGCATGAACTGAAACTGGACAACAGTTGGATTACACTTTTTCTTTTTTTCCTTTTCGTTGGAGTTCTGGAGTTCCTAAACATGTGGAACTAGCTGAGCCATTGAAAACTGTAGGAAAACCCCACTGTCAAATTGTGGCTTTGAAGAAAATAGCATTTCCTGAATTCTTGCCCAGGCCAATTGATGTTGTTATCATCCCTCACTAGGAAGCTTTTTTTTTTTTTTTTTTAAAATGCAGAAATGTTCTCCAAAACATAACTGATTATCTAGTATCTTAAAAAGTCTATTAACGCTAATTTGCTTCATAAGCTTCTGTATGAACTATCCATTCTGATTGCATGCACCGGGCAGGAAGTAGACCATTCTGCTGTCTCCTTTCGTAATGCTCCATCCACTGAAATGGTGTATTGTCTTTGCAGTCAGTTGTACTTAAAGGACTTTCCTTACACCTCTAGGGAGGAAAGCTCATTAGGGTAACTTCTTGGAAATTGCAAAGCTTGTGGTTGGTTGAAGGCTGTTCTTGTGTGACTAATATTTTTTTGTTTCACTGTGCCCGACTCTTCAGTGCTTTCAATTTAAAACAAAGCTAAACCTTGGGTGCACATACTAATCCTGAACTTAAGCTTTTCGGATTTGCCTGTGGCTTCTAAGTGTTCACCTAAACCTCATCTTGTTCCGTATGAATATTATTATTAAGCCTCATTATTGTGAGGTGTAAAGATATTATTCAGGGAGGCAAAGCAGTGAATGATCAGGAGCAAGAAGAAGAAGAAAGGAATACAGCAGAAAGACTGGACAGAGATCTGTAATAGATAAGCGTAAGGAAGGAAGTGCTCATGCTTGTTGGTTTGTATGATCTGGCAGCAATGATCTGCAATGGCAATTCTTCCTCCAATCAGGGCGTTGATGACCTCGAGTGTGCATATTTTCAGTGGAATTTGTCTGCTTTTGCAGTATGTGCTTTCATGTTTCCAGAGGACATTGCTCCTCTACTTGGCCATCTCCTGTCCTGCAGCTTCTTGGTACTGTTATCTCTTGGGGGTGAGCAGAAAAAAAAAAGGGGGAAGGGAAGAAGAGCTTGGCAATGTATGCCTTGCATCCTTACAAACCATGTCTTGATTATAAAACCAGAGGATTTTTGTGAAATAAAGGTGGGAGAGACAGTAGAGTGCCCCAAAAGTAAGGCCTAGAGGTTTTAAACTGCAGTGGGAAAAGCAGGAGCTGATAGCTGAGCTGCAGAGAACAAGTAGTCTTTAATTCTTTTTTTGTGTTTTCAGCCTTACACTCTTTGACTTATGGTTTGGCTGTTTCTCATTACTTCTCAAAGTTAATTTCTTTCTCCTTTAACTTTATAATATAACTGTTATATTCAGATGTTTCTGAGGTTAATATTCCTAAAGAATAGTTTGCATGACAGTTTTATTAACATAATTTCTAAGCAATTATATTTCTAAATAGAGATCTTAAAAGACATAATTGTAATGTATATATGTTTTGCTTGAAGTTTGAGGTTTCTGTAAAATGTTTACTGGCTGTTACTACTTAAGTGAAACATTTAATATGCAAAGAAGTGATGACTCAGTACAGTTGATCAAAAGTAACACCTTAGGGAGGACTTTGAGAAATGGGTTATCAGCACAAATATTTAGTAAATTAAATAGATTCAATCCTGAACATGGCTTTGGAAAAGTAACCACAGTCACTAGACTGGAAAGATTGTAGTAATTAACTCAGCCGTAAATGGTGAGTTTTAAAGCTGTTTTCAGTCATGCTCATACTAACAGAATTTTCTTATAAGTTTGCTAAATGTTGTAGAATAGTTAGAAATATTCCTTTTATCTTTAACTATAACAAAGCCAAACTTGACATTTGTGTGTTCAACATACATAAATTTTCTTGGTTCATTTTTGGTTTTTGTTTGTTTATTTTATCCTTTTTCCTCCCTCCCCCTCTGTCTACTATGTAGAGAAGCTGCAGGCAGTTTTGCAAATTTCCAAGCCGCAAATGGAGGTCTATAATGACAGTACTAACCTGGCATGCCGCAATGGACATCTCCAGTCAGGTGGGTTTGGTTTTACCGGCACCTATTGAGGGGATGTCTCTCAGTTTCTGGTGTATTACAGGGAAAAATAATGCAATGCTATGTTCTGGTCCCACCAACTTTAAAGAAAAATTGTTTATATTTCTGTTTTTAAAGGCTTTGTATAAAATACGTCCCATCCTTTCCATGGCTTTGACAACACTGTTTTATTTTGTAGTATTCAGTTCTCTTACAGTGACTGTCTTAGAATTCATAACTATTTACTAAAACAACGTTTTTGAACATATTTCTCATGTTACATTTTTCAAGGAAAGTGTCAATGTCAGATATGTAGGTTATATATTGTGCCTACATAGGTAGTTCTTTCTTTATGATATTGTGTGAGTGAATGTGCATTTATGTTAAGCTACTTTAAATTTATGGGGTTTTTACACTGAGAATGTGATACAGAGTTAAAACCAGGGGGGGACCACAACAGCTCTTGTTTTGTCAAGAAAGGTGGTTTTAATCCTTTCCCAGAAGACTAACCAGGTATACTAAAATAGCAGAAATAAACCTGTTTCTTTATACAGAAAGGGTAAAGTTACTGTGAGGTTTGGGAACTGCTTTTGGGGAGTGTTTTAAGCCAGCAGTAAGCTCTTGTCACAATTGTGATTTCAACAAATTCAGTGAATTACAGTAGCCTACAATGAGGTTAAATAGAGAGCTAACAAGCATGGAAGTTCATAAAGCTTGTCTGAGTCAAGAGCAGCATTCAGTTTTTGAAGTAAGTAAACTGAAACTTAGTGTGTACCACATGCTTCTGTTTGGGTTTTGGTTTTGTGTGTGTGTGTTTTTTTTTTTCTCAGATATTTTTCTCAAGTCATCTTACTGTTTAGTTTTATTCTTTCCAAGGTATAAGAAGTTAAACTACTGTGTCATGTTAGGCACCTTTACATTATTCTCTGTGTGGTAGTTTTGTTTAACTGCGTTTGTGAAAAAAGTGTAGTTAAAACGGCTCTTTGGTTTAAATTCTTAGGTATACTGATGTTGAACCTTCTACCTTCAATGGTCCAGAACAACTCCTGTCTTTTTAGCAGGCTGGCTAGAGACTGAATGAACAAGTACATAGATAGACACACAAAAGTTGATAACATATTCTATTTAATATGAACAGCTTTTTCTTTAAACTCGTAATATTTTCTTGTACCTTTGTCTCAGTGTGTCTCAGAATTGGATACTGCAGGAGAAGGTTAGATGGAATTTTCTCTCTTAAAACTGTTATTTTACTTAATATGTTAGTAATAAAGCATAGAATATTCATTGGTATCTACTGGAAATAAAGAAACATTTTGCCAGTTCTTTGTCAGGTGTTTGTATTCACAGAAGTTATTGTAGCAGAAGGTGGTCACTATGAGTAAACTTGTGGAAAGTGATATGAGTCAATTTACACACTTGCAGTCATACTCCAGGTGATTTAGAGAAGACGAACCACTTTTGCAAAACTGTGAAGGAAATGGCAGTGAAATGACTGCAAAGAGCCACAACCTTCTGGGAGTGCATTTTTCTGAGAGTCTTACCACTTTCTGAAAAGGAGTGTGGGCTGCCAGAGAAATGGTCATGTACCAAACTTGATGGGATCTGAGAAGGGACAGAAGGGATCAAGAGCAGGTCCTAAAAAAAAATTAGGTACCAGGCATCTACTGATTACTTTGAACAGATTTCAAGAGGCTTGTTCCATTTCCATTTGCCAAAGGTAGAGTTTAGATTTATAACTTGGGGAACTCAGAGCATTACCGAAAGTATTGAACTTTTCCCGCAGCTGTGGGTCCCTGGCAGTACCGTGAAAGTCAGCCAATTAACAGTTGTCTGAATTTCTTAATTGGCTGGTGCCTGTGCTGTTGTGCTTGCTTTTTATGTCTCTCTTTTTTGGGTGTTGGGGGGAGGGAGCCTTGTTTGTAAAAACATGCTGGTACTACACTTTTTTCTTAAAAGTAGTATATTGGTTGTTTTTTACTCTGCTAATCATCTTGCTGCTGTTCTTCCTTTATACATGGAAAAATGGTATTTTCACACAGACAGCTGCAGTAATTCAGAAACACAAACTAGATGACAAATTCTTAGGAAGCTGTACAAAATCAGTTTGCAGGCTACTTCAGATAAGAGAACTGCTGTTACTGAGAAAGTAGAGGTACTTCAGAGATACTGAGCAGCAGGGCACTAGAATAAACCTAATTTTCTATCTACATAAAGTATTACCTGTGCTGTTGCCTAAAAGCATGAGCTTTTTAAAAGTCCAGGATTTTATGAAGTGTGAAACGTGGTCATTCTTAGTTTTAATATCAACAAAATACCTTCTTTGGTCTAAAACTGGCCAGTTCTTTGGTCTAAAATTGCTTTGCTTTCATTCACTTGCCTTTAAAGGCCGAAGTTTTTGCAGATGTTTTTGCTTCATAATTTTATCTGATATCCTATTGCCACAGCCGTACTGCACATTTTTTGTATTTCCAAAGTGGTACTGATTTGAGATTCTTCCTTCTCTCAAGATCCTATTTGTGTCAGCCTTTCGGGCCAATTTACCTAATTCTAATACAAGACACCACCTGTCCCTGTCTTTTTCATTCATAGTTTCCAAACATACCTGAATAGTTGGAGATTTTTCTTGAGAATTTATTTTAGAGATTTAGAGTGACTTTTTTTTTTCAAAGACCTCATTGCAGCAGTATCACCAGCCCTTCAGTTGCAGAGGACTATGCAGTAACTTACCTAAAGAGTATTAACAAGTAGCCTTGATCCAAACCTTTATTTTGAAATACGTAATTATTGTTTAATATACATCACTCTTGTACTCACAACAGTCTTAAATTAGATGTAAAACAATTTACCTATATTTTTTTCCCTCAGATGTGCTTGTTTTCCTTTGCATTGTGGGTTGTTGATTTTAAATGAGCTTGGAAAGGAGATTGTGCCAGTCTTCCAAAGGCAGAGCTTGAGTTTTATGAACACGTTTACTGGGCATACAGTACTGATAGTATTACAGTAATCCCAGTGTACCATTTTACATTTAACATGTAAATCTCAGCAGGATGTATGATCAGAGAAAGCATTAAGTTTCTGTTACTTACTACAACATGAACACTGTGCAACTAGCTAGTATTTTGCTTCAGTTTTCACATGGAAGGACTTGCTGGCTAGTCTTTAATAGTAGACATATATTGGCAATGTTTATCCAAATGCAAAAGTTGTACTAATACTGAATTTTTAAGGAGTTTCCCAAGTAGAAGAACAAGTAGCAGTAAAGTAATTTTTAACACTCTAATTTGGCAACAGTGGATCTGACTGATAAGGCTCTGTCAGTTCAGAAAGAACTGTATTTCTCACCTGGGTAGCTGTGCTACCGTTTAAAACGTGGAACATGTCCTTCACGGTTTCTGAAGCTTTCTGTTAGGTAGCTTTTATTACTTGAGTCTACCAAATTGAAAAATCTGAATAGAATATTTGAAAGAATTGTTATTTAAAGATTTTTTTTTTTTAATAGAACTACTTACGTAAAGGTACAGACAATTCTAGACTGGAGAATTTTTTTCCCAGTGTGGGGTCCACAGACCATGTACAGTAACTCCTCTTAGTCGCTTTACATTGGTTATCAATAGGCATATGTGAAGAATTTCTGAGGAGTATTCCCTGATGATATTTAAGGTATCACAACTAAAGGCTGGAAATTGTTCTGCAATACCGGAATTGCTGTTGCTAATTTTAATTTAAATTTCTCTTGGATGCTTAAAAAGTTATAGACAAGTAGAAACTTTTTTATTAAGATCTGCTTCAATCTGATTTAAATGGGCAAAAGAAAATATAATTGGTTTGCTTTTTAGAAATATAAAGTATGTTGTTATATTTTTTAAATAAATGAGCTACTGCTGCATGTTTTTTGTGTTTGCAGGTATTTAATATAATCAAGCTTCTCTTAAACTTGTTCAAGCATATCTATACTTTATTTTATCCTTAAAACAGTTTGATATAAATTTAATATCAATAATATCAATTTTATATATAAATTTAACATTTATATCTGTAAGGGAGTCTGAAATTGGCACCTATGTCTGCAGCTTACCACAATTTAACCAACAGAAAACCCCAGACAAAATTTTGCTGCCTGCTTGTTTGTAATTTGTTTGTGTTGTGTATATATTTGGATGGCAGATTAAAATTGCAGGGATGCTTTCAGGACCAGACAGCTATTATGTCTGTGTAATCCAGTGGTGTTAGCTTGGAGCTTTAAAGTAAATTCTGTCCAGAATTAGACAGTAACATCAAACTGATCAACCCTCTATTACTATCCTGTAAATATATATGAAATAGACAATTGAACTGCTGAGTGTTTCAGATACGCTTGAAAAAATACCATGGTGTCTCTTTGCCATTAGAACTTACTTCACGCACTTCATTATTGTTTTAAACAAAACAGTGAAACATTTGGCAAAAGGCTGCTGGAGATACTGTGAAGGTTTTAAGGTCACTTGCTCTGTATTTTCAGTCTTTGAGGAGATGACAAATACAAATGGGTAAAGAGGGGGTTTTGGGCTTTTGCATTTGTTACAGCAAAATGTATATCTTGCACAGTGAAACAGTGAGAGCTCTCTGACAAGTGACGTACACTTAAACACTTCACACTTTAGAAACAGGGAAACTTTAGATAAACCGTAATTCTGAAAAATTTGATCACATTTTTATTTGTTGGCTCAATGAGAATTTGTATATAAAATGAAGTTTCCCTCTGGAGTTGACACTGAACAAACAATTATGTTCAAGAGATGTTCATCAGCGCTTCTTTGTGTGCAGCCCATCAGGACTGACCACAAAACATATATAAACCTAGTAGTCTTGAGTCCTGGAGGTACAGCTGCAGTAAGTAATAACTTGTGTTTAAACCTTTCTCTTTTCCCCTCTTTCCCCCCTTGTATTTCCTGCTTCTTGAAATACTCTTTACGTGTGCAATTTTATGATCCTCAAAATTGCAGTGTCTGTATATTATTCTCAATAGGAGGGAATAGTTCTGGGGAAGTGTGATAACTGAGCAACTTGTTAGGGTGAAGGAGATGGAGAAAAACTACTTCAGCTTTTTGAAGTCTTCCCATGTTGACTTTAAGCCAGCTGTGCAAATGAGGTTGAGGGGGAAAAAAACCCAACCAAACTGAGGGCCACCTTTTGATTAAATTGGGCCAGTCAAAGTGTTGAGTAGCTGGATGCTTTAACAGATTCATGCTTTTTGAACTTGAAAGTTTCTGAGTATGACTAAAGAGTTTTTGACTTGGAAATTCCTGTGTGGGAATGACTAAGTAAATTTAACCTGCTCTAGAGCTGTGTGTGACTTAATCAGTAGCCAGTTTTGGTGTTTTTTCTTGTTTTGTTTTGGGTGGTTTCTTGTTTAATTTTTTCAAGAAATATCTTACAGGTAAACGTACTTAATTCTATTCTTCAAGTTCCCTTGTTTTTTGCATATTGATATATCTGCATTGTTTATGATGTGACCCCTGTAGAGTTTCTTTAACTCTAAAAAGAGGTCATTTGTGACAAAAGAAAGGCTTTAGAAACCTTGTAGCTAGGTTGTTAAGGATACCTGCAGACTGTGTAGAGATTTGCTCCTGGTAGTATGTTTAAAGAGGCTCAGAACATGGTAGTGGTTAAGTGATCCTTCCATGATACTGTTTCACTGAAGTATTCTTTGAATTTTTTAAACACAATAAAAATTACAACCCTTTTTACTTAAAGCATTTTTCACTGAATTGCAATATTGTAAGTTAAAAATACTTCATAGAGTCATTAATTTCCTTTAAAATCAGAGTTTTTTGGCCCGTTCCTTGAAACAGATCAAATTGAGTTGCAGATTTCTAAAAACTTCGTGAAGGAACTTGTAGCTGAAATCCATCTTGAGCTTCCTTACCTCTGAAACCATATTTCTCTTATGTAATCAAAAGGCTTCTTAATCCTTTAAAAAGGATATACAATATGGCAGTATTTGCAGTTTTCATCACCAACAACAGTACTGTACTAGACAGTTTCCAGCAGTGTATTCCCGCTACAAAAAGTCTCCCATCTGATGCTATTCTCTAATCATTAACCAACCTGACCAACCTGCCTGCTTGCTGTAGCATGTTCTTATCTCTGAGTCTCTGATTTGATGTTTAACACATGCTATTTCTGTGCCAAAACCCTTCATTTTATCATGTATCCCATATGGAGAACGTAGAAATCAAGTGCTATTTTGTTTAGACCAAAATGGCCTCTTGTAGTGTGATGACTTGGGGCCAATATTTTAAGTTTTTTCTCTGTCACCTAATTTGAGACTTCACTGCTTCATCGTGGAGGTGAATTAGTAGTGTGAATGGAATGTTTGGTGGTGTTTGAATCAACGGTATAATATATTTTAAGACTTAAAATTAAGTGTAGGAAGGTAAGCGGCTTCACAGCTGTCTATTTAGAATTTACTTACCCTTTGAGATTCCTAAAGTGAAAGAAAGTTGTAAGAAAAAACACCTGACAGAAGCTTGCAGGTATAACTATTTCAGTATTCCCAATTTAAAATGCCTTGGTGAAGCTTCTGTGTGGAAAGTCTGGGTAGTGTTAACTAGAATCCAAAGTAATGAGACTGCTAACACCATTTAAGGAATTAAGACTCTGAATCTAAAGGCTTGAAATTCGGGGATGATTATAATGATTAATTTTAGGAGTTCTTTGGAAAGAAGGCAGCAGAGCACAAGCCAGAAGACTTTGCACTGTAAGGGATAGATGGTGTTCATCCCTTGATAAAAGGACTCAGTTATCTCTGGCTTTTCCAAGATGGCTAACTAGTGTTCATTTTGAGAGCTCCTAAAATTTTAAATCTTAACTTTAGGTGAAAGCAGCAGTTAATATCCCCCTAATAGTACTAAATATCTTTTGAAATTTGAGTTATTCTTCTATAACACTATATTATAGGTTTCAACATTCTATCTTCAAGTTAGAGTTGATGGTAAAAGTATGACTGCAGCAAATGTTCTTATTACATTGGTTTTCTTTATAGAAAGTGGAGCAGTTCCAAAAAAGAAGGATCCCTTAACACACACAAGTAATTCACTTCCTCGTTCAAAAACTGTTGCAAAAACCGGATCCACAGGCCTTTCAGGTCACCATAGAACGCCCAGCTACAGTGGGATATCGTCATCTTCTGTGTCTAGACCAGCACCTAATTCTGCAGCTTCAACTCACAAGGTATGGTGAGGTTAAACACAGGAGTATACAATTGAAAAATGAATGTAAGTTCCAGAACAAAGAGTGGATTTAATTTCTTTATTGCAGTGTTGTAGCAGCAGAAAATTTTTTGGAAAAAACCCTGAAACCCCTACATTTTTTGGCCAAGCCTCTTGAGCTAGGCTGCGGCGTGGGTTTTAGAAACCGGGGGACATCGAATGGGTGCATGGGCAAATGGATTTTAAATTTAACCACAGTAATAAATAATACTTGTTTTTAAAATTGCATGACAAACAGAGTGAAGGCTATCTAGGAGAAAAATAGATAGCAGGATGTAAAGATAGTGGGGAAAAAAACCCTCTTACTCCAGAACTACAGATTTTTCCCCCTATGAGTTCCTCCTCTTCTAAAGCATTCATATGTGCACAGGTTGTATTGAAAAGCAAGTTATGGTTAGATTGGGACTGAAACAGAAAAATATGTCTTATACTAAGAATATAGAAAAATACACCGTTTCTGTTGACCCATCTTTTTCCCTTCCATCCTTCTCACCCTCTCACCCCCACTACTCCTACTGTAAAGTAAAATAAAGAGCAGACTGAATGTAAAAGTGGTTAAAATGTTATTGCTACTACAATATGAAGGCTTTTAAGTGGCCTGTTATTAAAGTATGACAGCAGTAGAAATTCTTGCTTATAGTATGGAGGATCTGGAGTGGTTTGTAATGCTTATTTCTAGAGTATGCTGGGAGACAATATCATAGTTAAGTATAATGAATTATCAAACAAAAAAACCCTAACCCCAAACCAAAGACCCCTCACCACTGGAGCCTATGATGTTCTACCCATGTATGAATATGATAATATGATTTGTAGCAAAATACAGCATCAGAATATCTGGTATTTGTTAATGTATTATGTTCTACTGGAGTAAAAGAAATGTGGAAGTTGTTTTGTTAACACTGTGCTTTTAAAGTATTGATCTGGGTTTTTTGGGTTTTTTTCTTCCCCCTCTCCAGGCTGCTCCTAAAAACAGCAGAACAAATAAGCCTTCTACTCCTACCCCTGCTCCTCGAAAAAAGAAAGACATGAAGATATTTAGAAATGTGGACAGTAATCTTGCTAACCTTATCTTGAATGAAGTTGTTGATAGGTAAGTCTGAAGAAAATTAGGCTTTTCAATGCATAAAATCAGTTTTTAATTCAGTACAGTCTTGGTCTACTTGGAATGAAATCAGTGCCTCTAGTTTGTTGAGGGGTTTTGGGAGGATTGTTCTGGGTGTATTTTTTTTTTTGTAGTTACTTTGGTAAAAGGATGAAAATTCAATTCAGAAATACTTCTTTTTTTAAATGCTTAGCAATGTAAGTTGTAGATTTTCTCAAAAGGGTTCTGTATAAATAGTCAAGTGTGTTAAATTAGTCAGCTGCAGCTGAAAAAGAGTATCTCATTGTTAGACTAATTAGTATTCCATTTCTTTGTTAGTGGGCCAGCTGTCAAATTTGATGATATCGCAGGGCAGGAATTGGCTAAACAAGCTTTGCAAGAAATTGTTATCCTTCCTTCTCTTAGACCTGAGGTAAGCAACTGGGTGTTATCAGTCCATGACAGGATCAAAGAAATGTATTGTGCTTCACCCATGAAGTGGTGGTTCTTGAATCCCATCTTTACTGATCACGATTGCTATCAGTAGCTGTGTGGTGATAGCCATCTTGGGGAATGTAGGATCGATGTGTTAAAATACTGTCATAAAATTCCTTGTCTTCTGGTTAGTCAATGCTGGAGAAAGTGGCTGGGGCAAGAGCTTAAAAAAAACAAACCCCAAGCCAAAACCAAACCATCAAACCACAAACCCCTAA